ATGAGCTAATGAGCTGAAATTTTGTATCGCAGTGGGGTGCTCAAAGGCGTATAACATATAAAAAAGTCGTTTAAATTGCTCGAGGCAAACAGAAGTTATTAGCTAAATACAGCTATAACTTCAATTGCATCAAAAAGTTGCAATTCACTCATATGCAGAACGAAAATAACGGAAAACTTAAATTTTTGAACGTTCAGAAGAATTTTTATGCAAAACCAATGTGATATTCGGATCTACGAAAAAAAACTGCATCGAATGATATATAACTCGATGCGTTTAGAAAAAAACATTTTCGTCATAAATTTAGGCGAACACCTAAGGGCGACCTCAGGCAAAAATTTCGAGGGAAAGTTATTGTATGCCTTCAAGGTCGAACTTAGGTGAATATTTCAACATGTGCAATTCGAATATCGCGGTCTTTCGGCTTGAATCGTGGCGAACAAAAAGTAGATAGTTTTCATATGAAAATTCAACTAAATCCTTATCTGCTTGGGAGCTGGTCAAAAAAAGGGTCTACAACGACACTCCTTGTGCTCGAAAGGGGTTTCTTTTTCGTATAGATTAATCAGTTCTTTAGCTTCATTTCCATCTAATTTCATCCAAGCAATATCGCTTAACTAGAGTGACGATTACATGATAGGTTCAGAGACCATAACTGCTATATTCAAGAATATATGTCCGCAATAATTTCATCTTTTACAAAGTAAATGTTAATAATTGAAAATTTACATTACGTTCGGTAAAGGTAAAATAAATATTTACTTATCAAAGCAAAAGGATAAAGCACATTATTAGCTTTAAATTTATTAAAAGCAAAGTAAGTTATACTTTATTGTTTCAATTGTTAAGTAGAATGTAATGCCCACTTAAGGCTGCAGGCTTAGCTGTTGATACACTAGATTGTTTTTACTATATTCACACAGCTTTGATACATATGGTTAGAAACTTGCGGATACAAATAAAACGCGAAAATCGATCCAACGTCACATATCAATACATTATCAACGTTTTCTTCCTGAAAGTACGATATTTTGGCGTAGAATGATGCTACAGTACATGACATTGTAAGTTGATAAGAAGACTGGAAGAATTCTTCAGCAGTATACTTGGTTTTCTAAAAGTTTAGATTGCTGGTATTCGCCCCAAGTACCATAGCTGGTAAGATTCTTCCAATTGTGAGAAAAACATAAAAAGCATTTTATCGCTATAAAAATTAAGCTTCGATTTTCTTGTCTCAGCATATAAAAAAATACGAATCAGGTATATCGTGCTTTTCTTTCAAGCAGAGGAACTCATCGCATACAAGAATAATCTAATGGAGAGCGTTCCAGACTATTCGCGCTTCTTTACAGTGGACGAGCTCTTCAATCATACACTTGCCGTGGCACTCAAGCATCCTGATATTACACAGTATCAAAACATTGGGCATTCTCGAAATGGAGAAGCCATTCCAATGTTAAGTATTGGTAACGGGTCTAAATCCGTGTTGCTGTATGCTTGTCCACACCCCAATGAACCGATCGGCACGCTCCTCGTAGACTTTCTGCTCGATGCTCTCATCGAGTATACAGATCTACGTGAGATGTACACCTGGCACCTAATACCGTGCGTCGATCCTGACGGAACTCGGCTGAATGAGGGCTGGTTCGCGGGTCCGTTCACCATTCGTAATTACGCACGATATTTTTACCGACCTCGCACCGAAGAGCAAGTCGAATGGACCTTTCCGATCGTATATAAAAGGTACAGGTGGGACACACCATCGAATGAAACGCAAGCGCTGATGAACGCCATTCAGCTTGTTCAGCCAGATTTCGTCTATGGCTTGCATAATTCTGGATTTGGCGGCATGTATTATTACATTAGCCGAAACTTGTCTGCTGTCTTCCCTGAACTGGAACTGCTACCAGACTCTCTCGGTATCCTTCTTTCCAAAGGTGAAGCCGAAGCTCCCTGGTTAACCCAATTTGCACCTGCCATCTTCACTCCATTAAGTCTACGCGATGCTTACGACTATTATGAGAAGTATACGCAAATCGATCCTGTGACGATGATGAGTGGCGGTGGTACCAGTTACGACTATCTCCGAGAGATCGACTTGAACAGCACTATTTTTCTTATGGCGGAGGTTCCTTATTTTGAATCACCCGCCGTAGCAAACGACACAATCATCCCAAACTTAACACGACGTGACGTACTCCTTCAAGGTCTTGACAAGGATGATGAAAGTAATGCGATTCTAATGGACTTGCTTGACAGGATTAAGACTGCGATGACGCTCGACTCGGCTTTCTATCGTGCATCTCGTTCGCTTCTGGAGCTTTATAATACAAGCGCCGCTAGTCGCCGTGAGGCCGTACTCAACGATAATTCGACTCTTGTACCTGCCACAGTTGCTAAACGAGCTGACGCCCTCTATATTTCGGTTTTCTACAAAATGCTTATTGCTAGCATGCTAGATCGCGCGCTCATATTGCAACTCAACCTTACATCAGTGGACACCAAGTTGCTTAAAGAGACTCAAGTTGACCTTGAAGATCATCTTGATCGTTGGATTAGCGATATTGAGCAAAATTTACCATACACACCGATTCGTATTCGTACCCTTGTACAAGCTCAGCTTGGAACGATGCTGGCAGTACTCCCACAGGTCGGATCAGTCATGGATAACTTTGTCCAGATTCGTAAAAATATTTGACAGATTCCACTTTAATTTGTATGCATTTGGTCTATTGATAAAAATGTCCATTTCATACGATGTATAATAAATCGTAATAGGCTCCAGGACTATTTCTATGTTGCCAGCAAAAGTACGAATAGAAAAAAGGTGGCTGCACTACCAAATTTGTTTATTAGAACCTAGTTTAAAAACTTTTAATACCTAAAAGAGTCTAGCTCATGTTTTTCAATTAAGCGTTAATAAACCTTGGACCCAGATCAATCTAGTGAAAAAAAGTTTTCCTAATCGCTCCTTTTTAATGAAAAAACAGTACTGTAAAGCTTTTCCTTTGTATTACCACTAGTAAGTGTTGAGTTCTTGAATGACTTACAGGACGACTGTTACGCTTCATAACAGGATTACTGTTTTTAGTAAAAACAAGACGTTTCTCCAGGTGTTCTTTTTCTAAGTACAGATGAAAATATATATTAAAAAAGACCTACGCTTGAAACCAAAAACTCAAAGAAAGAAATGAGGAGGAAACGACAAAAATAGGAAATTTTTTGGATAATTTTGCAAAGTAGTGGCAGATTCAGAATTTTTCGACGGGTGTGTGGATTTTCAAAAAGCTGTAGAGATTGTATAAATTTTCATTTTCTTTAAGTCATCAAGGTTGTGGATTTTAAAAACTATATCTGAAATAACCTATTTTTGCGTAAAATTAAAGAGAGAAATTATAAGTCAGGCAAAGTTATTTCAGAGTCAGAATAGTAAGATGTACTCTATTTCATCTGCACTATATCATCAATTCCAATAGAAACTTCAAAAAACCAACTGAGAATAATTTGTTTTGTGAAAAACGTTTTCTAGAAGGAAAAGAACACTTTTAACTACTTTAAAGTAGAAAACTGTATTCAGCAGATGAAATAGAGTATATTTAGATATTCTAACATAGTCAGCATGGATTTCGACTGAGTTATGAGTTCTCTAATTTTGCGCAAAAATAGATCAAAATGGGTTATTTCATCTAATATAGGTTTTCAGTAGATTTGAGCTTTTTCGATGAAGAAAAACAGAAACGTTGTCATTAGACTCAGCGTTGCCCATACTCTATGTTTCCATTCGTTTATGGGATTACCATTCCTAAAGGAATATCAATTCTGCGGCTTTCAGAACACCTGGTGCCATGCCCACAATACGAAAAGTTAAGAGATTACTAGTTCCCATTTTGTAGAGGACACTTTCTTCTATCTACTGATCTTAAAGATCAATAGTTCAGTATTTGAAATTTTTTCTTCACGAGTTTTCCAGAGATTCTTTGAAAAAGTCGTTTTTGAAAAATTCTCTAAAACGGTTTCAGTTTGCGAAATAAAATATTATTTATAATCCATCTGGTCTGGACTGATATGTGCAATTAGTGCTGAGGAGAAAACAACAAATAAAACTATAACATAGAAAATTTTTCTTAAAAGTAGATAAATGTGATTTTCCTCGCGCTTCTTCATGTCTTTACACTAGTTTTCTAAAGACTTTTGTCGTACTTCATTTAAGATCACTGACAAATTTTTTCCAGTTTAGACTGATTTTGATCCATTGATTTGATCAGAGCTTGTTTTTCAAGTTTTCAAATATCTCTTCATTATACTTAATCAGAATTTTTTTGTCATAAGAAATATTCTCTGCTCTCTAATTACGCGTTTTTATTTTAGAAAAAAAGTTAAGTTACAAGTTTTCCTGAAAAAGAGAAATGACGTTTCCTCGCCAAGAATAATGTCAAGAGTAATTGTCTATTATTCAACAACTGTTCTGTACTCGAGTGTCGTGTAACTTTTCAATTGCTCCATACTCTATGCATACAATTATTGAGCAACACTTGCGCATTAAAAAGATTTATTTTGAATATATATTTTGTCAGTCGAATATCTTAATTGTTATTTAAACGATAGCAAAGCGTAGTATTGTGTAATTCACTTCATTTGAAAAGAAATAACTAAACACGAATTTCGATAAAGTGCATAATAAAATCGATAGTTTCTAGCGAGAATAATTATAATAAAATAAACCCAAATAATGTTTTTAAACTTTTGATTTAACATAAACCCCAAATGACACCATCATTGTTATCATAATCATATGATTAAATTTTTTTAACAAGGCTTGTGTTCCGCATTTTGCATTTGTCGTACCGTCAGCGATAGCTGGACATTGAGGATATTTACCTGTACAAGCAAGAGCATTACAGTTTGCCGAATTACAGCTACTCAACTCCCATCGGCCTTCTTGTTTTGGCGTACAATCTTTGCCTTTACAACACTCACATACACAATGTATACCATCACTCTGTTTGACTACCATCAACGTAATGAATAGGCAAACGAGAAGAACTGATTTCAACTGCATTTCAATGTGTTTCGCGACTAGAATCTAAAACAAAAGGAAACAAAAATAACAGATTCAATCCATATGAAACTTATCACCAGTACATCGATATTTGCCGCTCGTGACGAGATCCCCTCATTTTGTACAGTTCGATGAGGTGTATCGAATGGTGAAAACTACTAGTCTCTAGTCTTGTTAAGAAAAGGTTATAGCCATTTTATTCTTACAGCGACAAAGTACATTTTTCTTCATTTTCCAGCGGATTTCGTCCAACTTGTAAAACGTCTCCTGACAGGGAAATTACGTAGGAAATACGATGATGGTAGAAACTTCGGCATCAAAGTGAAAATTTTCGATGACTTTATGCAATTACTGCTACGACGCTTGTAAGTCGGTCGTCTAAGATCGTAGAAACTTCGCTGACATCACATTTTCTAGTGAATTAAACGGACTATCCCGTGATGTATTGAAATTCTTCTAAATCGAACTTTAAGGTAGCTACGTTTTCTAGAAATCTTTTCCTCAGGTAGATCTCGTAACAGGCGCCGAATATCGATATACTGGTGGTAGGTTTCATATGGATTCACCCGATAGTGTTTTGTTACATTATTTGATAAAATAGTTTTCGGTAGCAATATAATATCTCTGTATTTCAGACGTATGGTTGGTTTAAGTCAGTCCTATTGTAAGCTGACGGTAGTGTTCACTAATACAACATGCACATGTTGAGGTTCCTTTTACAGGATATATACAGCATCGTATTATTTTAGCTAAGGCCAATTAACTATATTCTATAACATCGCACAACCTTAAACTGTGTGTTCTGCGGTTGTTTTTGCACATTACTTCAACATGTGTATTGTTCATACATTATAAAGACAGAAACAAAGAAGTTGACATGTTACTTTAAAAACTGATGAATTATAAAAAACAGTGAACAAAGCCTGAGTTTCACGCGTCTGAATAGGGAATTGATACTTTTTATCTAGTCAAGTATTTTCTAGCAATGAAAGTTTTGCTTAAATCATAGTTATTTTGAAATAGGTAAAGTACAACCTCGGTCTGTAAAAAAATATTTAAGAATTTACCTAACATCTGTATGTAAATAGGGTACACATCATCTATCATTACCATCTATTATTTTATCCTACATTCCTTCCTCAATATACCTACTAAAATGTCATGGATTTTAGGCGAAATCTGAAACTTAGACGAACCAAAAGCTGTCCATGTTGTCCGAATTCCAACAATGATATGAAATTTGCCTCTTTTTTTAGAAAAAAATTCAATTACTATTCATTCCAGAATACGGTGCGTGGTGAGTAATTTTTAAACGAAAAGTAATACAGAGTTCAGGTTTTCACCATTTCGTAGTAAAAACGACTATCTGTATAAAAATATTCATACCTAATGCTATTTATCATGGTGTACCTGACGGGTGAAAAAAGAGGAGAACGACAGATACTGAAGCCAAAATGGATTTTTAATTCATACTATATCGTTAGATATCCCAAATGTCCTCTACAAATTTACGCAAGTCGGAAGTCGACCGAATAATCTGTGTTAAAGCAGGCATTCGGAAATAACTGAATATTTTTTTTCTTGTTTGTCGACAGCATACCTTCCCTACGAGTCACTATGCAAAAAAATAAAAAATTCTCGATTCGATACCATGTAAACTAAAAAATAGTGTCAATCTACTTTTTCTAAAAATAAAAATTCAGCGAATTGAAAAATTCCGTTATTTATGTCACAGCTATTCATTTATACAAAACATCGAATGTTTTCCTGAGTAACTCACGTAACATATCGGCACTGTCGGGTGGTTCGAAGAGTTCGTTTTAAGTTCAATTGATAGAGAATTGAATTTTCTACAAAACCTGCTGTTTGAATCTCTAATAGCAATTTTCTCTCTTGAGCACCATTTGAAATATTGAAGGGTGCTGAGTTGTTATGTGCTTTTGTTGTCTTCTTTTGTGAGATTTTTAGCCCATTTTCTGAGATTCAGTAGTTAATTTTTTTAAGTAGAAAGCTAAAATTTTCTGCTCTATCGATCTCACTCATTTACAGCTTCAGGCGAATTTTCTGATGTTTTCAAAATTCTTATGGAATCTGTTTTTGAATCCAGACAAATAATTTTCTATTTTCAGTGTGTTGAAGTTCGACAAATCAGTACTCTTTAACATTTTGAATGGTGCTCAGATTTTTTCTATTGTTCAAACTTCTTTTCTTTCTTTTTTTTTTCTTTTTTACTGTGGATGACCTAGATAGGTTCTTTGTTGAACTTTTGTATTACCCCTCCATCAATAAAATTGATTACGAGAAAACTGCTACCAGAGATTCAAACAGCAGGTTTTGCAGAAAATTCAGTTCTCTATCAATTGAACTTAAAATGAACTCCTTGGACCACTCGGTAGTGCCTCAAAAACAACGAATAAAAGTATCCGATTTCTGTACGACTGCGTCTAGACTAAGTGACTTTTCCAAATTTCTTTCCTGTTCTGAGTAACCCCTTGGAACATCGCAAAGGTGTTTTTCTTTTTCTGATGAGGAGTTAACTGGATCAGATGCACTTTTATAGGGGCGTTTGATTTATATATGAAAAGTGTAGATGTACGCTTATTTTGATCTAAATTACTCGATTTTACGGTCAAAAGACG